CAGTCCTGCTGCCAGTCCAGCTGCTGCAAACCTTGCTGTTCTTCAGGCTGTGGACAGTCCTGCTGCCCATCCAGCTGTTGCAAGCCCAGCTGCTGCCAGTCCAGCTGCTGCAAACCCTGCTGTTGCTCTTCAGGCTGTGGACAGTCCTGCTGCCAGTCCAGCTGCTGTGTCCCCATTTGCTGCCAGTGCAAGATCTGATATGAGGGCCCTACCAACGACCACAGGGTGGGGGTGGGGGATTCTGGTTTCTTCATGCCCCTTTCCACCTCTTGCTCCAGGCAGCCTCTCTCCTGCATTTTCCTTGTGCCCAGCACATGTAGCAGCAATATGTGGGCCCTTTTCTATCCTTGAAAAAGTTTGCATTCCAATCCGTAGAGATGCCCTGGAGGGTCGTAGGTGCCTGCTTTCTGCTGTCAGATGTCTCTTACTTTGGTGATAGACATTTTCTGCCTGACCTTGGTTCAGGCCTTGGGTCTCCAGTGATTGACCCAGAACACCTGCAACTTGGCTTCTCAGAAGAAGCCACAACTTCTGACTCAGGTACTTCTCTGAACTCAGTTCTTTCCAGCAGGAACCTTCCTTCCTGTTGGTTTCTGTCTTTTGCTGTTAACATCAAACTGAATTTCAATTCAATAAAAAATACTCCTTCCACTTTTAACAAGACTGCTTCTGATGTGGTTCTTTATTTTATCCTATTCCTCTGTATTATGATATATTTCATTTCCTGGAACCCCATGTTCAATCAACAGGTACATAATGACCCATACACTATTCACCCTTCACCTGTCTCTGCTCAAAGGCTTCCAATTATACTTTGATGGCCCTTGAGTCTGGGCAAGGAAACATTTGGGGTTGCCTGAACTAGAGTTATGTGCTGGGTTTAGAATCCATACAGCAGAGTTTCAGTCCTAGGCCCCATTGTCCAGTATGTAGATCTTAGGCCACTACATCTCTCATTGACTTTACTGTTCCCAAATCTAGAATTAGAGAATAGGTACATGAAGTCAGGGTCCAGAAGTCACCTTCTGTACTGTAATGGGTGGGGACAGAAGAGAAAAAGGACTACATCAGTACAGGTGTGCTTTCTAGGACTGAAACTGGTACCCAGGATTGCCAAGCTCCTAATTTGAGGTTTACTCCATGTGTCCCCCAAATTCTGGTGATGATTGAAGGAAATCATTGAGACATCACCACAGTGCTCCTTTCATTTAAGCAGAAATATAAGATGTCTTTGAAGACCCCACATTACTCAAACATTAATCTAGGTGCTGCTCTGAAGGAATTTATAATGGTGGTCCTAATCAGTTGACTTTAAGATGGAGAGATTATTATCTTCAGTGTGTCTGATCTAACCAGTTGAGTCTTCAAAAGGGACAGGCTGTATCTGGTGAAAGAGATTCAAAGCATAAAAGATTCCATCTTGGAGAGATTCTCTGTCACTGGCTGTGACAATAGGGGGTGTCATATGGCAAGGAATACTGGTAGCCCCTAGAAAGTAAAAGTGGTCCACACTGAAAGTCATCAAGGAAATGGGGACCTCAGCCCTACAACCGTAAGGCACTAAATTCTGCCCAACCACATGAATGTGCAAGAAGAACCCAAGATCCCGATTAGAATACAACCTGGCCAACACCTTGGTTTCAGCCTCATTAGACCCTGAGTGTAGAACCCAGCCATGTCGGACAAATGAGTTACTGAGCTGTGAGTTCATAAGTGGGAGCTGTTTTCAGCACCAACATGTCTGGTCATTCATTACTCAGTGTAAAAAACTAATACACTCTCTGATATTTCCATTTTGACCTCATGATCTGCTTCCTTCTTTTTGTGATATCTAGTTTATATTGAAAGTGCCATAGGCTGCCAAAAGAATCAATAGATCCATTCCAGAGGAAGTACAGTCAGAGTGCTCCTTGGAGGCCAAGATGGCCAAACTTCATCTCTCATACTTTGGACATATCGTCAGGAGGGAACAGTTGCTGGAAAAGGATATCTTGTTTGGTAAGATGGAGGGTCAGAGAAAAAGAGGGAGACCACCAATAAGATGGATTGGCTAAGTGGCAGCATCGATGGACTCAAGCGTGGCAACAGTAATGAGGTTGGTCCAGGATCAGGCAGTGTTTTGTTCTGCTGTGCATAAGGTCACTATGAGTCAGTACCGACTCGATGGCACTTAACAACAACAACAATCTAATCTCCTATCTCTTTCCCTCATCAAAACGTGTGTGTAAAGCAGGACTGCTTTGAAAGTTAATGCAAATAATACACAGCGAGTCCTTAACACGTAGACTGCAACAAAGCATTGCCTGGAGACTGCTGGGTGACTATATTGAAACTGAGGCTGTCCCTCTTGACCCTACATCCCTTCGTCTCCATTTTTAGCAATATGATCATTCTTATCTTTCTCTCTCTTCCTCTCATTCCCCTTTTTCTTCTCACTTTCCCTCCCTCTCCCTCTTTTATTAAGTGTTAAACAGAACAAAGACAAAATAAACATAATCATCTGATTGAGGGGAACCATAAGCATGCACACAGTACATGACTCACAGTCATGAAGTTCATTATATATGATAGAAAACAAAGAAAATCATCACAAAATGATGACTGGTGGAAGATCAATTCATAATTGTCACAGTTGGGGAAAGGACCAGGACTGGGATATGTACACAACTGCAGGTTAAAATAGGGTACAGGATTGATTCAATTACCTGGATATGTGCTGGTCAGGGTATGAGTCATGATCATGTATCCTAGAGTCATAGCCACAAGGTGACTGCAAGACAACATCAGTATCCCAACCTTTCAGTGAAATTAGGTAACATGCATTTGATTGACTACTATTGGTAAGTGCCCCCAGCAAGTTCCCTAGCTCTTTGTGTGAGCACCTTTCTGTATGCCAGTTAATCTACTTCCAACCACACTCTTCCTGAGGGCAAACTGCCCCTTCTTGTTCATGCCATGTACTTGTCTAATTATAGCTACATTGCTGGTTTAATGGGCAGCAAACATTGGGGAAGTAACAAAGAACTCAGAGGGCACCTGAATTTATTTCAAGATTCAAAGTGGAATTAGGGCTTCCCCTGTTGATCACACCCTTTGACAAACCAAGTACTTTGGATTTTAATTGAGTACCTTCTGCTGCATCATGGATTACATTTAAAATCCTTTGATCACATTTAGGCTGGTGTGCTTTTTTCTAAACAGGCTGGTTGATGGCTCCTTTGCATAGCTGCTTATTTTATTTTGTTTTGTTTTTACTCTTCTTTCTCCTCCACCTATCAAAGAATATTTACTTTAGTGTGAAAATTTTTTCTTGTCTTGTTTACAAAAGTGGTCTCATAAAAAGTTCATCCTATTATGATTGGCTAATTTAATTCAGGAGACCTGATGTGGGGCTACGGCTTAACGCGCTGGACTGCAATGTTGATTTGAACCGCAAGGTCAGCAGTTCAAGCTCACCAGCCACTCCTCAGAAACTCTATACAGGGTTGATATGAGTTGGAACTGACTCAACAGCACTTAACAACAACAATTTCACTCAGCATAATGTCCTCCAGGTTCGTCCATGTTATAAGGTGTTTCATGGATTGATCACTTCTTTAATGTTGCATAGCATTCTGTTGCGTGTATGTATCATAGGTGTTTTATCCATTCTTCCATTGAAAAGCAGATCGCTTTTTTCCATCTTTATGCTATTGTGAACAGTGCTGCAATGAACATGGTGTGCACGTATCTATTTGTGTCCTGGCTCTTATTTCTCTAGGATATATACTAAGTCAAGGGGTTACTGGGTCATACGGTATTTCTATTTCCTGTGGGGAACGACTTGAATGCAGGAATTGGCTTGAATGCGGGAAACAGCTTCACTTCTGCTATTTAACACGGTCCCAGCAGAAAAGAGAGATATCATGCCAGGCTGATAGTTCTCAGAAGTTGATTTCTATCTTCTCTTTAGGGTAACTTTGAATTTACTTGTAAAATATATATAATATGGCCATATTCACAGCCTTTCACTGTGAGTTCTACAAATCTGAGGAAAAATTAGCCTGGCAACAATTGCTTTCAGCTTCGGTGGATTGAATTCAAAGGGAATTGTATGTGCCACTCCCACTCACAGACAACCTAAGTACAAAGTAACTGCATTTATGAGATCACAAAAGCAGATAACAAACTAAAGTGAAGCTGACCAACCCCTACAGACCACACCACAATCAATTACCAACCAGAACCCACAAACCCCCACTATTACATACAGGCACCTATGTAAATAGGCAGAGAATAGTGAGCATAAGTGAAAGGTGGTCAAAACTTAATAATCTACCCTTCCTGCAAGTATTGGTCAGATTGGGCCTTTTTCTTAACATGCCTCACAGCCTTAAAAGAAAAGAAACATAGGAACACTGTGGTTCAGCAATTTACTGAAAACATCAGAAGAACAAGATAATTGAGTAGATGTTAGTAATTCTTTTGTTATAGAAAATAGTAGCACAATATGTAGGATAGAAAATTGACAATTAGCCAGTAGAAACAATAAAATGGTGTAGGCATTGACGATTAATAGAAACTTATGTTACTAAGAGGATGCAATCAGAGGTCTGATAAGTGGAAATAATTGGTGTAAAGTTTAACTTGATCTTTCAGAGGGAATAAGAAGAAACAATCTAGGAGAGGAGATAATGTTGAGAGAAGAATGCTTAATGGTTAGAAAAGAACAGGATGTTGGAAAGCTCAGGTTGGACACCATAGAAATACTTTTGTTAAGGTTCTGTAATCACAGGGTAAAAGAATGTTACAATTACAAATATGTAATAATTCAAGGGAAAATCAAAGTATCAAATCATTATGCATTGTATGATTGTAAGTATAAAAAATAAGGACTTGCTGAGTCGGGCCAAAAGGAGAAGAACAACAAGCAGACAGAGAAAGAGAACCCCTTCAGCCAACCAAACAAAGGCTCTCAATTGCTTTCATTTTTTGCCCACTCCATGTCTCCTCTCATGTCCCTCGAACCCACGAGAGCTGGACTCCTGCAATTTCCAACTTTTTAAAGATATTTACTTGTTTGGGAACAAGATGTTAATACCCCTGACATTATTCTTCTGATAGCTGGTTACCATCTCATTTGTTCAGTGTATTTCACTATAGCACTGAGACTTCAGTGATGCTGTTATGAAGATAAGTATGGAAGGGGGCCACAGTGTAAGAATTACTTGGCCTGTGGTTAGGCTGTGAACCTTAAAGTGGGAGCTCAAGTCCATCAGTGACTATATCTTTTCAATATATATGATTCTCTTAATGG